GTCTGTAGATTACGGGTTATATCGTCATTGAGTGTATATTATCGATTCCATGTCTAACATTACCTGGCAATGATTTCTGTTTATTCTCGATTAAAACTTTATCTATAAGAGCAATGTTAAAAAATGACTGGCAATTTCAAATATTTTCAGTTAAAATGTACTAACATATTTGACATTACCGGGATGGACTCCTGGGATTTTATTTTTCCAAAATGTAATCGGATTTGAGGAGCTCTTACTTGAATACCAAGCCATCACACATTCCCTTTTTCTGATTCATTTCCAATGTTCATATCTCCGGGAAATGACAATTTCACGTACAGTCTCATAATGCTGTCAGCGGTCACACAACGTGATTGATGGATTTTCAAATACTCACGAAGCTAAAGATTTGCACTTACGTTGCAAAGAAAACAAAGCTCGTTTAAGTTCGTTCGTTTTCGAGGCAAGGATACCAGCTCAGATAGAACTGGATTGGCGTATTTCACGCTAGCCAGCCAATTAAATTACTGCAATATTCCTATATGGCCCAAAATGTAATTTCTAAAAATATGTGACCAAAATGACAAGCTTTGGTATTATTGTCTCCCCAGTCATCGTGGTTTGGGAAAATAAACAAATTCAATATTCGTGTAACGCTATTTCATGTTCATGTGAATTACGATGTAAAAATGCGCAAAAAGTCTGTAGATTACGGGTTATATTGTCATTGATTGTTTATTATCAATTCCATATCTAGCATTACCTGGCAATGATTCCTGTTTATTATCGCTTAAAACTTTATCTATAAGAGCAATGCTAAAAAATGACTGGCAATTTCAAATATTTTCAGTTAAAATGTACTAACATATTTGACATTACCGGGATGGACTCCTGAGATTTTTTTTTCCAAAATGTAATCGGATTTGAGGAGCTCTTACTTGAATACCAAGCCATCACACATTCCCTTTTTCTGATTCATTTCCAATGTTCATATCTCCGGGAAATGATAATTTCACGTACAGTCTCATAATGCTGTCAGCGGTCACACAACGTGATTGATAGATTTTCAAATACTCACGAAGCTAAAGATTCGCACTTACGTTGCAAAGAAAACAAAACTCGTTTGTGTTCGTTCGTTTTCGAGGCAAGGATACCAGCTCAGATAAAACTGGATTGGCGTATTTCACGCTAGCCAGACAATTAGATTTCTGCGATATCCCTATATGGCTCAAAATGTAATTTCTGAAAATATGTGACCAAAATCTGACAAGCTTTGGTACTATTGTCTCACTAGTCATTGTGGTTTGGGGAACTAAACAAATTCAATATTCGTGTGACGCCATTTCATGTACGGGTGAATTACAATTTTAAAATGCGCAAAAAGTCTGTAGATTACGGGTTATATCAATGGTGGGCATAGTTTTTGAACCAGAGGTCAAAAATTTTGCCCACTCAGAATGGCGGACCATGTGAGTATGCGGTAAAAAGTTACATTTGATGAACAATATTTACAGTGTTACAAAGCAAAGATGGGAAACAATAAGCCTCCTGCCAAAACTAAATTTAACCGCAATCTCAACAAATGACATGAGCTATTTTAGCAGAAACATCAAAATTTGATTTCAGTTCGGTTATGTCAGCATCAGGCGGGCCAGATTAAATCACTCAACGGGCCGGATTTGGCCCGCGGGCCGTACTTTGCCCATGTCTGGGTTATATCGTCATTGATTGTATATTATCGATTCTATATCTAAAATTACCTGGCAATGATTCCTGTTTATTATTGCTTAAAGCCCTTTCATGACTAATTTAGTTTTTTCAATATCTTTGCAATATTTAGTATTTTTTATAATGAAATTTAAACATGATTTTTAATTAAAGATGTGTAACAAAACGAAACACGTAAAAAAAGTGTTGTTTGTTTGTTATTTATGGGTTATTTCTGTCCCGGCAGAACCGGAAAGGGGGTTTTACCGGGACAATAATGTCCCAACAGCCTCTGAATACAAATAGCTGTAAAATCATATTTTATTGTTCATGACAAATAGCGAAGCAATTTTTGCAGTACGGAAGAAAGCAGCTTTTGCATAAAGTTTTTTTCTCCTCTCCTCATTTTTTTTCGAGCACATTCTACACATCTTCTGCGTGTTTTTCCTTCTACAGGAAGGTGCTCTCCCACATTCTTCATGCCTTTCACAAGATTCGAGGGTCTTCCCGACCGTGACTCATCCAAGCTTTGGAAAACGCTGTCTTGCCTAATACGCTAAAAAGTTGATTTCAGACACAAAAGAAGTTCTTCCAAATAAAACGTTTTAGAAGCACCGGAGGGTTTTTCTTGCGTGTTAAAATGAGTAAAGAAGCTTGGACCTATCTTTAGAAAATGTAGTCTTGATCACAGCATTTCCCATGAAAGGTTCAGTTGACCAGTAGAGGTTCACTGTCGGAAGCCTGGCGAAGCACATTACAAGAAGACAACCAACCAGAGACATCATCTCATATGGACTAGTTTTTTTTTGATAATTTTTTTTTTCTGTTTTTCCAAAATTTGTAAACTCTAGTTTGTGTAATATGCCATTTGTATGAATACGCTCCATGGCCAATTTTTAAAAATATTTCGTATATTGAGGATTTTTTTGTCAGATAATCTGTTATTTTACATTCCCTCTCAGTCGATGGAGAAAATTTGGGTGTAAATCTAGAGATGTTTTTTCAGTTGGAAGGCGAAGCTGGATTCGCATCCATAGGTTCCACACCATCATCTGAGTTATCAGCATTATCATCATCTGACTCGTTTTCACTTGTTGATCCACCATGTGAATCAGTATGCGTAGGATTAATCACAGAATCATCAAAATTGCTGTCAGATTCAGACAAGAAATGCAAAACTTGAGAGGAGCTATAATTGGACATTTTTGCAGTAAGCCAACCTAAAAGATTGGCAAATAACAGGCTTAGCTCTAGGTACACTGCAAAACATGAATTATACAGTCGTTATATTTTATTTCATCTAAACATGTTTCTAACATAGCAGACTGCTGGGACACATTTGTCCCACAACGTCTAATCAAAAGGCCTGCTGGGTCAATAGCGTTCCACTACAGAAAAAAACTGAAAATTTGCATAAAAAACGAAATCTTATTTTACAAAAAAGCAAAAATGTCAGTAGAAAATATTAAAGCTTATTCCTTACAACCTTCACTCTCCTAACCTACGTTTTTGCTGACAAGACGCGCAAAGAAACACAGCCAACCTGAGCGACCGGGAACTCTAGACAAAATGGCGACGACAATGCGAGAAATTTTAGTCACGTGACTTACCCAATGCTGTCATCTAGCGTTATGAATCGAAAACGTCTGAAATCTATTACGCGTGAAACTCTCAATTACGTAGCTTGGGCGTTTTCAAAACAAAAAAAATTATGTTTGATTATAGAGCATATATACAGCATCTATTTCAGTGCTCTTCAACATTTTTGTTATTGTGGAACCCCTGATATAATTTTTCGTTTTTTATGGAACCCCAATTAACAAAATTCAAAAAAAAACACGAAATACTCGTAACACGAAATACTTCTAATTCAAATATTTCTACTTCAACAACGAAACAGAAAGAAGGTGACAAGCGTGAAATTCAATGACTAGGTTGTTCTTGCATTTCTTTTGCAATCTTCTTGAATCGTGGCTCCACGGCGCTCAATGCAATTCTCATACCCATGTCTACACTCTTCTCTTTTCACACTTTGACACTTCTTCTTTATTCACAACTTCTTTTTTTCGTTTTTAATAGTTGTTGAAGCAGAAAATGCTGATTCACACAAATAGGTATTGGGAAATTGACACAGAATGTTTTAAATGCTGAAGCAAGAAATGATTCCCCATAAAAAAAAAACGCGGAACCCCTAAGGAACCCTATAAACTCACGGAACCCTACTACATGTATTGCGGAACCCTAGAGTTCCGCGGAACCCCTGTTGAAGATCACTGATCTATTTGGATTCGATTATTAAACTAATTGGAGTCGATTTTACAGCGCAGATTGTGAAGCTACGCAAGAAAAGACAAGCCAAATAAAGTCTGTGAATTCTCTAAGGCCAATTCTTTTTGTCGTCTGAGATATGAATGCCTCCAGGCTTGCATAACTGTGAGAAATATGATATATTGTTACAGACGTAAACAATAAGATCTTCTGCCTCCTATATCACGTACAGTGTCATAATGCTGCCAGCGGTCACACAACGTGATTGATAGATTGCAAAGAATACAAAGCTCGTTTAAGTTCGTTCGTTTTCGAGGCAAGGAAGCTCAGATAGAACTGGATTGGCGTATTTCACGCTAGCCAGCCAATTAGATTACTGCGATATTCCGATATGGCCCAAAATGTAATTTCTAAAAATATGTGACCAAAATGACAAGCTTTGGTATTATTGTCTCCCCAGTCATCGTGGTTTGGGAAAATAAACAAATTCAATATTCGTGTAACGCTATTTCATGTTCAAGTGAATTACGATGTAAAAATGCGCAAAAAGTCTGTAGATTACGGGTTATATTGTCATTGATTGTTTATTATCAATTCCATATCTAACATTACCTGGCAATGATTCCTGTTTATTATCGCTTAAAACTTTATCTATAAGAGCAATGTTACAAAATGACTGGCAATTTTAAATATTTTCAGTTAAAATGTACTAACATATTTGACATTATCGGGGTGGGCTCCTGAGGGGGCTTCAAAATGTACTCGGATTTGAGGAGCTCTTGAATACCAAGCCATCACACATTCCCTTTTTCTGCTTCATTTCCAATGTAGCCTAGTTAGGTTCATATCTCCAGCGAATGGCAATTTTTTTTGAACAAATTTCGGACCTCCTGAAGTATGCGCACCAAGATGGCGCACAAACTGAACTCAGGGTTCAGGTTATGCGACATCTTGGTGCGCATACTTCAGGAGCACCCAAATTTCGAATTGGAAGCATTTGATATACCTGCCTAAAATATTTTCTTCTTTTTGAGTGACAACACTATTTGATCATGCGGCAAACGCGTGAAAGTCTCAATGACGTAGCTTGGGCGTTTCCAAAACAAAAAAAATATGATGGATTGATTATAGAGCATATATACAGCATCCATTTGGCTTGTCTTCACTTTACCGTCGGACAATCTTCGAAGTAAAATCGCCCGTCTTGCTGAACGAGATATCTTGGAAATTTGGACGAAAATGGCAGCAAAGCAATTTCTCTACGCATCTGTCGTTCTATCATCTATTCTACTTGTTTCGGAGTCGGCCTCCAGTAAGATGTTATTTTAGTAATATTTATAAACTCAGATACAATTTATGACGATAAAATATATAGATTAATCGCGATTCATTAGATTCCATTGACTACTGCAGGCGGTAGAAATATTGAAAATTTGATAATGATATTGTATTGTATTAATTATCGATCTCGATCGGTAAGTATGTTGATAGGTATTTGTCTGTTTGTCTGTCTGTTAGACACCGTCGTATGTTACGCGATATCTCACGAAAGCGAAGTTGAATATGCTCCAGTTTGCATGTACATTCATCATATCTCAAACCAGGAGCCTATTTTGGATGAATTATGTCGTATAATTAGCGAGTTATTTATTAATTGGTGATGGGACACGCGGTGTCGCTATTGAGTCAGAGCTAGGGAATTGAAACCGCAGTTTCTGTTTTGTGGGATCCCATAACTTTCGTCGCTGTGAACGATCGATAAGTCGGCGGTCTCCGATTGCTATCTAGTGTTTTTCACTTATTTTAGTTGGTGTGAGAAACCTGTTTCACACACTGCCCGTTATATTTTATACAAATTACAGTTACTCTTGGTTTTTTATTCATATTTCGACCTCACAAATCTAATTGTATTGTTTTCAGTTGATTACGAAGAATTTGCGAAGCTCGTCACAAACTATGCCGCCATTTTCGTGGCACGGGAATTACCAGATGCTGCGAAATTATACATTGAGAATAAAGTATTGCATGATGTGGATCCGGAAAATTCTTTATTATTTGACGCCGCACTTATTAACTTAATAGCCAGCGACATCTCCCCCCGTGACAAGATTATTGCTTATTATGCGCAACATGAATTAGATTCCGGTAAATATTCGTCGTCTTCCACACTTCACTTGATTAATATGGAATTACTCAACATTGACCTCCATAGTAAATACAAGTGGGAAATGTTTAGAGATACACTGGCCTTGCAGTAAACTATATGAAACTTGTGTTTAAAATCGAATCATCTTAATTTTTATTTGCAAATATGTTGGCATAAGCTGAAAATAAATTTTTGATGGGAAAAAGACTTTCGATAAAATATCTCACATTGCGCCCAAGTTATAAGGTACGTGCAGTGGCGTGTCAAACTTTCCTGCTGCCCGGGGCGAGCTTCTGATATCGCTTCCTCTTAAACCTGACCTGAAAATGTTTGTTATATTAATATTTAAACTATCAAACTAAGCAACAAACTCACCCCTATAACGTGCTGCCCAGGTACCGCTTTGGACCCCCTCTAGGCACGCCACTGAGTACGTGATCGGCTAAATCATTGGCTTTCAACCGAGGTCCCGCGACATCCCAGCCTTCCGCCAGTATAGTCTACAGCAGGGGTCACCAACCCGTTGCCCGCGGGCACCAAGTCGCCCGTGAAGACCACATGAGTCGCTAACAGGTCTGTTCCAAAATAAGCTTAATAAGGGTGCTTATAAGTGAACTGCAATAATTAATTTTTTGCCATGTTATTCTTGTATAAATCTTATGTCTTATTTGGGAACTGGGAACAACACTATGTTAATTATTATGGTAACGATCATCCTAACTTTTATTTGACCTCAGTAATGTGACGGGTCACATCACACAGATGTCAACTTTCTACGAACCCGCGTTTTTTCGTGTTCGTTGATTTGTGGAGCAGCAATGCCAATAATACAATTATTGATTTCAAAGAAAATTGGCAGAAAAACGAATGAAAACTTACCATTTTCACGATGAATGGGAGGTGAATTTTCTTTCATTACCGTGAAAACAGCTTGCGTAAGTCTCATTTGCGGGGCGATTAGAGCGACGACAAAGCGAAGAGACATTTCACATCTTGTCACTATAGATTGATCAGCGCAGTACGGGCAGAAAAAAGCTCGCATTTCAAATCAAACATATAACCTATGTTAGGAGATCAGTGTTTGATTCAAGCCATCTTTGTGAATCAACATTTTTTGATATGAACTTCACAAGTAACTAAGCACGGAATGCGACTTTCTAATGAAAATCTGCAAGATCGGTTCAGAGTTACAGTGTCAAGTTACACGCCGGAGTACAACACACTGGTGGAAAGCATTAGACCAGTATTGTTCGATTTTGGTTTTCTCCTTGTTGAAAACAAGATATTCATAATTAGTTAAATGCAGTGGTGAGCTGTAGCCGGAACGCACCGGAACGGCGTTCCGATTGTTGAACATTTTATTGCATTTGCGTTCCTGTTGTTAAAATAAAATTATGGTACAAAAAGTTAAGTTTCTCTGGTTAAACTAGTTCAGGATGGTCCAAGGTTGCCGGCTCCTCGGGCCACAAAATTATTTTTGCTTTGTTCGTGGGCCACAATACTGTCAAGAATAGATAAACAATGCAATACAAAACAAACACTTTTATTGTGCAAACACATTGATCGGTATCTGTCATTTGTCAAGCTAACCCATGCATAAACAACCAAAAAAACTGCAAAAGTATTTATCTACAATTACACATAGACCACTTTAATATTGCAAACGCTTTAAAACGGAAGAAGTGTTTCCTCAAATGTAAGTGCTTTCGAACATCGATAATATTTTCAAAGCAAAATCTTAACTTTGCAAAATGCTCATTGCTCACAAGATCTTTAAATGCCGTTTAAATGTCTTTCGTCACCGACACAACTTGCCGACATATCAAGCAATTTTTCCCCCCCACAAGCTTTCTTTCCAAACTCATGTTTACAAAACAACTTACAAATAACTGCGGATTGATTGATTATTAAATTTGAGGTACAGAAGGGTAATTACGAATATCAAATTTTCTGACATATAGGCGTCATTTTTTTGTAATTCTGTTTAGGGTGAAAAATGCATGTTACTATCAACCCTGTTTAGGGTGGTTACAAAAAACACCCGGCATGATTTATATTGTTAGGCCATAACATTAATATTTAATGACAGTTGTGATTTAACAATATGCCAAAAGATTTTTTTGGTTAATTTTATGACGAAATAACACGAAATGCATTTTTATAATACTTTCCGAATGTGACGCGAGCCACAGATAATGAAGTGGCGGGCCACATGTGGCCCGCGGGCCTGGGTTTGGACCACCCTGAACTAGTTATTAAATTTTGTTTTCTTACATTATATTTCGTAATTCTTTTTACATCATATCACATCACAAAGACTTAGTACATAAGTAACGTGTAAACTAGGGGTCGGCAACCTCCGGCCCGCAGAGCACTATAATCCGGCCCGCGACGCTTCACTAAATTATAGTAACAAAACCTTTTATTTTGACGAATATAATCTTTAGACTAAATTATATTGTAACCTAACAATTATATAATTCACAATTACTCGTTTAATGAGAATATAATTTATTTATAATTGAGCAAATAGCAAAAAAAGGCAGAAAAGTTGATGCTGAGTGCAAAAGGTTCAATGACGCTGAAAATATTCAAATGGAATTTCATGAGATGCAATGAGGAATTAAATCTATACTCTATTCGAGAGATGTAAAACTGCTTGATCTCTATTATAAAAAGTACCATCCGTTCGGTTTTCCAACTTTCTAAAAATATGCGCGGCCTGCCAATGACTTGCAACCTCAATTTTGGCCCGCGGGCGACAAAAGGTTGCAGACCCCTGGACTGTAAACTGTGATAGATATTTCCCCGACCTTTGATCCCATAGAAATTCATTCTATACCTTTCTAAAAATAACATTTGTATTGAATTGCTATAAATATTTCTTGTGATTCTACACAGACATATTTCAGATCATTTCTCCATATTTCATTGCAGTTCTTCGACTCTATCTTAGGACAGTCAAAACATTCTGTCCGCGTCGTGTTACATATATTACATTTTTCGAATAGTTCAACTGTTAAGTTCATTTCATCTTAGGGTTTTGCAGGGTGTTTGTAAAAAAGCATTGTGGATTTGTTGTTTCCGAAGATATTATTGTTGTAATCACTTCAAAATCAATTTGAAAAACACTCATTTTGAAAATGGAAGTGTCATTGCTAGTAATTTATTTGCTACGTTGTAAAAATCGTTTGATTTCCTGAGGAATCATAAAGTTTATCAGTGTTTTTACTTGACTAAATATCAGTGATTATCAATAATTGAAGGTTAATCGAGCAAATTGACTTTTTCAAAACGGCGCATTAAACTGATAGCCCTCGGCTTAATCGGTACGCAGAAAGTGAGCCCTCGATTTTCAAAATATTTTTCCTAAAAACACAGTTTTAACACATTTTATGTCATTTTTATGGCAAAGACATGTGACCTATTTTTATTCAAAGTTCAGTTTTGGCATTTAAAATCTGGATGAATGGAAATAACGATGAAAAATATGTTTAAATACATTTATTTTATTAGTGTTAAACATGTTGTCTTGTTGATGCATAAGCAAATATAATTTTGTGTTTATTCGTAGTAAAATGTAGTTTTTATTTAAAGGTTAAAAGTTATGCACGACAGTTTGACGCGACAATGTTTGAATCGTTGTGAAGACTCTTCGTTGACTTTAATAAGGTACCTTGAATTAAGTCTCGGCCAGGCTCATGCATATGATATATTAGAGAAATTCAACATCGCGATTTGAATTTTTTGTCTACACGTTCAAAGTGTTGGACCATTTGTCGATATTTGTGTGTTACATGGTGAACTATTGGGTCGTTTTGATTTGCTTCAATGGAATGTTTTTAAAACCTACGCTGTGAACAAGACTCTGTGCATGAGGAATCGATACGTGGATGAATATTTTGTTCTTTAAATGGCTGAACCGTTTTCAGATTTTAAGGGACCGTAATCGTTTTAGTTTCTATATACCCCAACTTGGTCAATGATAAATATAATGAATATAACATTCTGCATATTTTAGATTAGTTATCCGATAAAACACTGGTTGAACAATAGGCATTAAACGAAAGTTAATAATCATCGTATTCTGACGTCAATCAATTATTTGGCAAAAAAAATTTGAAGCGGTGGATAACAGATTACGTTAAGATTACACATTTACAACCCAATACATGACATTAACTGGGGAAGGATTATTGTTTACCGTTGTCCAAAACTTTTTCCGTAAACAATGTTGAAAAATCAGTAAATACTGCGCCATTTTCATGTAGCTTTGTGCCTCGGCCATTTCATTTACAACTCAATATTTGACGTTGTCGAGACCCATTTTTGTTTATTGTTGTTTATAACTTTCGCTATAAAAACACGTTTAAAAATTAGTAATTATAACGTTATTTTTCAGTACGTTTAGCTTATCAGCCTTCAATTAAAAACCCATCACAATCTAAGCCATGCAAAGTGGGCGTCAAAATAATTCTGATTCTCTGCCTATTTTTAAAGCCATACTTCGTTTTATGCCCCACAAGTGGGGTACAGTGGGACACTTAACAAACGTTTTTCAAAGCATTTTGGTGGTAAGATGTTTATCGCAAGGGAAATTCTTAGTCGCTGAATAAAAACTACATTCACCCCTCTCTGCATTAATCTTCCAAATTGAAATGAATAAGCGAGTAAAAATATGCAAAAGAAAAAAAGTGTGTCAATATTTCCCTATTGGCCAGGCTATTCTATGTCTTACACGTTACACCTAAGCTGTGATCAAAGCTCTGTATACGGGAAGGCGATACGTAGATAAATATTCTGTTTTTAAAGGACCGTATTTGTTTTGGTTTTTATAGGCCCATCTGGGTGAGACGATTGCTTGTACCCGACCTGATAACCAAATACGAAAACGTCGATTTTCATGAATGCGTCTTGTTATCGACTATAATCCTGCAAAGATAAATTAAACATGAATAATGTTACTCCTGCAAGACTTTTGTCGGTTTTTGCTATGTCGTGATAAGGATGCTAAGTATGACTACTTACAAGTATTCGATTCTTATCCGATTCCTCGACATATCTTAGCGAGAAAACATACCCACCTAAGCAATATCATAGCAGTTTATACATTTATGTGAAAAACTCGACACAATTTGTTTGCAACCAACTTTTAACCCTAAGAATCGATTCCAATGCATCGAAATCGATTCTAGTCGATTTCCCGAAGAATCGATTCCGGGTCGATTACGCCATTCCTATTCACGACGATCAGATAGATACTTTTTTTTTAAAGGTGTTTACCATTGATTCTTGTACAGCGCACAAACTCATCTTTGGATCTGCACAGAAGCAGTTTGCATCAGGTTCGGGTTTCGCATTTTGAATAAAATTAAATCATTGTTCACATCATCTTCTAGTATCCAGAAAAACAGCTTTTTCCACCATTTGACGGATTTTCGGGCGATTTAATAGTAGAAAGCATACTGATGTGCAACCCATGTACTGTATAATTCGATCAGAACAAGTTTATCGATCTCATCTTCTCGAACTTTCTTGCGAATGGTGTCCCCTCTGTAAAACGTTGGAAGGTTGTGACGGTTCGTTTGTCTGTCCCGTTTTCTTTCATTGATGATGGAACCCCTTGGTAATCAGTGTTCCTCTAAAACAGTGCTCCGCGGCGCACCGGTGTGCCGCGAGACGATGCCAGGTGCCGCACAGGAATTGCAACCTTTCTTTTCTTTTTACGAATTTTTGTTTATCTTTTGTTAATTTTGCGTTAGTCTACTACTCTAATCTACTAACGTAAAGTTAACCTTCTTTTACGTTAGCTTGAGCGACACCAATTCAACTTCCTGACACCCCCGCTGTGCATTTGTGACGTAACAAGGAGTAGGCCTATATAACAAGCAAGTATATTGTAAAGCCCATTGTCGAGGCTAAAACATAGCACGTGTAGTAATCGAATATAAATAGAGTGTGAGTTTGCAGAATCAGTGCCCAGTGGTCTTTGATTAAAGTCAAGGAACGTTAAAGTTTAGCAAAATGGATATTTTTTTAAAAAGAACAGCTGATACTGAGCAACATATTGTACCTAGCACAAGCAACGTTGGAAAAAAACAAAAACTTGTCGAAAGGAAATGCTCCAAAACCAGTCCTTGTTATTTGGGGGGAGCTACTTTCAAATTAAGCAATGTTTTCGAGTAAACTTATGCGCCACTTAAATACGAAACTTGCCGTTCATGCACGCAAGAATATGAATTATTTCCAGCGGTTGTTAAGTCAAAATAAGAAGCGAGAGTGCTCTGTGAAGTCGTCTTTTACAGTCTCCGAAAAGGCATTAGAATGTAGTTATCGTGTTGCAAAATTTATTGCGCGTCACGTAATGATCATAATATACAGTGATTGTCCTCATTAAAACAACCACAAATCTCTCATTGTTATATAAACATAAAACAAAGTAACACCTTGTATTTTTCGTTTGTTGTGGTGTGCCGTCAAATTTGGCAAGTTTTATAAGTGTGCCGCGAGTTAAAAAAGATTGCGGAGCACTGCTTTAAAACAGGGGTGTGCAAACTGGCTCGAGTTCTGCTATACCAAGATAAACAAAGCGCGAGGCGATCGCCGAGATTGAATAGTTGCCAAAATAATAATAACAAGAATTCTTCATTTTTCACTTTATTTTTTTTAGGGACTGGCCGAGTAAGAAATGCCGGAGCATTTTTTTATATGGACGAGTATATATACTTTATTGCAGGTTTAATTTATTTCTTTTGTTTATATGAGGGTGGTCCAAACCCAGCCCCGCGGGCCACGTGTGGTCCACAGCGTCATTTTCTGTGGCCCGCGTCGCCATAGCTGAAGGGTAATCAAAAAATCGCATTTGTTGTTGTTTCGTCATAAAAATAATCAGAAAATCATTTCGACATCTTGTTACATCACTAAGGTCACTAAATTGACTAGTGTCACGGCTAGCTGTAGCGGTGACCGTGCATTTGAACCCACGTACATTTGAACCCATGCGTATATCCACGGGTTCAATCTATATGCGGGTGCTAAAACCCATGGGTTAGGGTTAGTATGGGTTTAACTATCCGTGAAACAAAAAAAATTCCATAGGTGCAATAGCAATCAGGTGCAATTGTCATGGGTTCAAATGTACGTGGGTTCAAATGTAATGGAACCAGCTGAAGCAACTAGCGAAGCTTAATAGTGTGCTTGAGTAGTGCAAATTGTTAGCTGACTTTCTGTCTTTTTGGTTGGGAATATATTTCAACGATTATAATAACTAAATATTAATTTTGTGGCCTGAGAATATAATTCCGTCCGGTGATGCTTTGGAACAAGCCTTTACGGTATTACAAAAAATGCGTCTAATATCTCAGAAAAATTAGTAATTGCTCTCCTGTACCTTACATTTGGTATAGTTTGATAAGAAATCAATCTGCAGCAAATATAATCTAAAATGGCATTTTGCTATCGTGGGAGCAATGAGCATTTCCAAATTTTAAGAAATTTTGCTTTTAGAGTGTTTGTTGTGCATTGCCCTTTTTACCTATTTTTGACAATATTGTGGCCCGCGAACAATGCAAAAGTAATTTTGTGGCCCGCGAAAGCGACAACCTTGGACCACCCTGGTCTAGATTAAACCCTCTTATTATTTATTTTCATGAATACTGACTGACTGATATTGCCCACCTATATGGGGGAGGCCAGCTTATTGGCGAATGCGGTAAATTTTTAATAAAAGTGCATAAGTTCGAGAATTTTGTTATTTTTCCTGGTATCGGCTTTCCTCTCCATTGCTATAAATATGATAATCCCATCTTATTATTTTGGTGTATTATTATAAGAGTAATTCAAACCTAACACCAGCAAAACAACACCACCCTTGATTGTCAACGTGTATATACGGTGTAAAACTTTTTTAGCAAACATCTACAGACTTTGGCTAGTCACAGTTCGAGATTCCGCATCTGCCGGATTTTGTTTCTAATTTAAATCCTAATTTGTTCAAACTATTACGATATTTCCATTAAACAATTTTTGCCTTCTCATTAAAAATGTATTTCTAATGTGTATTTACACATGAATGATTTAACAGATAAAGAATTCCAAGGATAAAATTCTTCAAGCACATCTAAAAGATAAGCAAGAAATCATGTATCACATGGATTCTCACTGAAGAATTTAAAATGTGAAAGAGATAAAATTTGGGCGCTCCCGTAGTATGTGCACCAAGATGGCGGATACTGGAACGTAGTATGTGTACCAGGTTAGGGTTAGGCCACAATTTTATTCCAATTTTCCTTATTTTAGTTTTATTACGAGTTCGGAACTAGCCAAGTGGTCCCATAGTATCTGTACATGAATTTATGGCCTAACCCTAACCTCGTACACATAACACGTTCCAGTGTCCGTCATCTTGATTCACTGCCTCGGGAGTATCAAGGCTTCAAGTTTTTCCCAATTTTAAAGCGAAAAAGAAAATTTTAGATTAGTAGAGATTGCGTCAAATTGAATGGATGAGAATTTCGTATTTATAATGGAAGGAGATGCAGACTATTAAAATATTCAATGCTAACAGTCATCCAAAAATAAATATCAAATCATCAGGTGACAAATAAACAACAGATTCTAATGAAAACTGGTTTGACATAGTTCAGATTTAGGCTTCCCAGCGCAAAGGAATTGGATTGACTCGCACGTACTTGATTACAATAAATTTGGAGAAAACTTGTTTTGCGGGTCACACACCTTATAAAATTGACACTTCTCCGCGGGTCGCACATTTTTTTTTCTTGTGTGCCGCAGTTTGCACACTCCTGGTTCAGGACGATCCCCGTCATGGACCTGCGAAGTAATTTCAAGCTCTATCGGTCTATTTCCTCTAGGATTGTAACGCATAGTGAAACAAACCCACCATTTCAATTATATTCCTAATGTTGTGATTATGACTGTCGAATGCCAGGCATCCGGTTCGAAGCTCAAAAAATCGTACTTCCTTCACGACAATCTTATGACTGAATTTAGACTCAAGTGACACTAGATATACATTTATTCTTATCAGTAGTCGTCAACACACTGACATATACAATTCTCGTAAAATAAACAAATTAGGAGTTTTTCGAAGGTAATAAAAACGAGAATTAAGAACAAAATTTATTGAAGTAAACAATTCAAATATGCCTATAATAGACTTTTGTCAGTTAAAAATCTATTCCACGAGGGAAATGACATGGACAAACAGTTTATGACATTGTGCCTTATAAGGGATGTGGTCATTAGAGCTGTGGCTAGAGAGATAGATGCCTTTTGAGCGTTTGTTTAAATCAGCTTATAAAAGTTTGAATGATGCTTCAAGTCTTCTCCCATAAATTTTGTAAACACGGATAACAGGCTAAAATCAGGTAAGTTTTGTTTAAAATTAATAAGTTGTTGTTGTGTTGAGATCCGTATTCGATAATCTGCAGTACTCATCCAGCAACTGGTAGATTTGCCACTGAAAGTATGATAAAGTAAAATTATTTTAAAATGTTTCTTCAGACACAGCGAGATCATAAAATTTTCCGCATATGATGATTTATTAAAGTTTAATACAACGTTTTCCACTGATACCATAAATAATGAGAGATATTTATTTGTGTATTTGAAATGGTTTGATATAGGACAATATGACTACTCCACATTGCTTATTGCATTAATACTTATCCATCTTAAGATCGGTAAGTATGTTGATAGATATTTGTCTGTTTGTTTGTCTGTCTGTCTGTTAGATGCACGCGATATTTCACGAAAACAAAGTTGAATCTGCTCCAAATTTTACATGTGCATTCACCATAGCTCGGACCAGAAGACTATTGATCTTGGATGAATTATGTTGTATAATTAGCGTTATTGAGTTATTGATTGATTAGTGATTGGACACACGGTGTCACTATGGAGTAAGGGCGCTGTTTTGGGAATCCCCTAACTTTCGATCGATAAGTCTTCAATCTCCACCGATATTCTCGTATAAAAAATTATTCAAAACGATTTGTTAGGGGTTCGGCCTATTATATTGAATAAAATCGTCATCAAATTATCTCTACCCGGAATTCCTGGATTTGATACAAGTTGCAAGATTTGTCTGCAATTGATTCTTCGTCCATGTCTATCGTAGAATTGGGGAAAACATCCACCACAGCTGCTCATACGACATTGTATGTTTGGGTTGTAGTATTGACTAGCATAGTAGTAAGAAACCTGCCGTCCGTGTGTGATGCATCTGTAGTTTGCACATTGCTGTTGATTGCAGTTTGGAACGATATAACCACACGGACATTTACCTGAATTAAATAAACAAAATTGAGGTCACATATTATCAATGAAATTATTTTTAATATATTCAATATTTAACAATAAGAACTCTTATGAATCATATTTACATTTTACTTACATTGTGTGTATCTCACGTACTTTTTACTACATACTTAGAACCATGTCAAATTTGCAACAAGTTAGCAAGTCATACCAACAAGAAATCTTTGTGATAAAATTTTATCAACCCAAATTTCTCATAAGCAATCGAAGATTTAAAGGTATCTAATTGGTCCCCTCAAGTATGTGAACCAAGATGGCAGACACCGGAACGTAGTATGTGTACCAGGTTAGGGTTAGGACATAATTTTCCTTATTTTAGTTCTATTACGAGTTTGGGGACGAGCCAAGTGACTCCCGCAGTATTTGTACCTGAAATTATGGCCTAACCTGGTACACATACAACATCCGATGTCCGCCATTTTGGGTCACATACTTTGAGAGTACCTTCCAAATTGCATACTGCGCTCAGAGCATGCTATTATTAAAGTTCAGAGCCACACCTGAAGTTGCAGGTTATATCGTTTTTTTTTTGTAAATTACGACCGTGAAAATCCGGTAACAAGCTAATCATAAACAAAAAATATATACTTAAAACTTCTGGTAACCACTTGATTGAAATCGTAAAAGTGAGCTCGACAACCATTGCATGATGTTCTACATTGTGCGTTGAAATTTACTGGACATCGTGCAGTCTCACATGCGTTTCTTAAGCAATATCCGGGGCATTGGTTTCTGCCTAATCCACCAAGTACTATCAATAGGAGAGCTTCTGTATAAAATGTACAATAACTTTACATTTGAAGATTGAAATAAGTTTTAATAAGTTTCTTGTTTTAGTTTGTTTATATAATCACGACTCAATCCAATTGAAAAAGAAATAATTGGATCATTTGTTAGAATCTGAGAACTCGCTTACTTAAATCAAAATCCCCTCCCCCCACGAGGCTACATCGTAGGGTTAAGTTTTATCGCATAGATATTCCCAGAGAAGCATAAATGACAAGGTCATTTTACCATATGAAGTTACTCTTCACGAGGCTAGTGTAAAGTAGACCATCCTCACACACACACAAGGCTAGTGAAATAGAGACCCCCCCCCCCCCACTCCATTTTTTTTTCGAGGTTATGCAATTTACTCTAAAATATTGCCTGTCTGTCTTTCATTCTGCCTACGTCTCATTTTTAAATAAATCTATTTGTTCATTTGCATAGAGGTGGTAGATGGCGCTATGTTACGCGTCTGATCTTATTTGCCTCGGGCAAAGATGTGAACTTATGACATAGATCGTACGTCGCGATTACAATTTTGCTTTTCACTAATTAATCACGGCTTTCAAGTTTGTACGAGGTCACATAGGTCATAGAGGATGAAATGAATTATAACAGATGTTATCGAATCATCAATAAATAATGTCTCTTATACAACTTAGGAATATCATCCGGATATAATATTTATTCAATACACCTGCAGTAACTCGCATAATTGTATCCATCCGTGCAATCAAAATGTTCCTTGATTCGCCGGAAAATCTATTGGTTCGCAAATAACGTCCGAAATACAAATGTATGAAAGTAATATCATGAGAACTTGAAAAGAAAAAGTCCAACAAGTGTTACAACTTTACACGGGCACAGTATTATAACATACATTCAACGGTACTCCTGGAGTATGTGAACCAAGATGGCGGACACCGGAACGTAGTATGTGTACCAGGTTAGGGTTAGGTCATAATTTAATGTACAAATACTACGGGAGTCACTTGGCTAGTGCCCGAACTGGTAATAGAACTAAAGTAAGAAAAATGGCAATAAAATTATGGCCTAACCCTAACCTGGTGCCCATACTACGTTCCGGAATCCGCCATCTTGGTTCACATATTTCTGGAGTACCTTTCTAACATGGTGAAAATGTTTATTAATTCATAATTCAACAAACGATTTTAACAAAATACGTTCACAATAATCAGTTTGAAAGTCTCTTAATTTCACTCAAAAAATACGTGATTGATTTCAATTTGGTGCTCCCGTAGGTTGTGGTACCAGGTCAAGGTCATCAGGTTGTGCGCCATCTTGGTTCACATACCACGGGAGCGCCTTCAATTGTTCATTGGTACAAAAGAAACAAACATAAAAAATTAGGAATGTTTTAAATGTTCCAACCAACACTTTACAATCCCATCTTCACAGGTTAGTTGTATTCCTGACCATGTCCCGTCTTCATTGCAGATTATGATGATATATTGGATAATTAATCTGAGGTATATTCAATCAATTGTTATTGTACTGAAATAAATTTTACTCCTTAAGATTTTACAGCAGATATACAGATTTTTCGAACGGTTATTTTAAAAATGGCAGCGTTGCGATTGAGCAGAGTCAGTATTGCAAGTACAGCTTGGATTTGTCGATTCCGCAAAATGGCAAAAATACGAATCAAAACAAGATATAATTGGGCAGTTTACCAACCACACATTTCCATTTCTATGTTCTATGCGGATCGCCGTGGTATTTCAGAATAGTGATGCTTTTATTTTGTCGACGCAACTACAGATTACATTGAAGACAATTAAATTAATAATGAAAGACATATTAAATATGCCCGGTCGGTCATAGATTGATTACTTTGCACAAGAAAAAAAGATGCTCCCGAAGTACGTGCACCAAGTTGGCGCACAACATGAATATAGTATGTGTACCAAGTTAGGGTTGGTGCACATACTTCGGGAGCGCCCAGAAAAATCATTATTCGTTGAAAAAGGCGGCTCTTTCAACTAGCGCGTAAACGAGCTGTTTTAGACGGAAATGGTAATTTCCGAATTTGAACCCCCCCTGTCGAAAATCAAGGTTGCGCGCCTGAATCCGAATCATATGGCAATTGTGTCAAGACATCACTATAACATAGCACAATAATCCAATTCTAACATAGAATTCAAAAGTTTAATTTTAACGATTTCATCTAGAATACGACCCCAAATGTCCTGCTGCTCGCAAACATACTTCATGTTCTGACACAAACTGTGCAGTCACTCCTGATTGCAATGACGATAAGAAGATTTGTTGTCCTACAAAATGTGGAACGTCTGTTTGTTGGGGTTTACCTATTTCACTAGCTTTGTGTGTGTGGGGGGGATCTCTATTTCACTAGCCTTGTGTTTGTGTGTGGTGGGGGTCTCTATGTCACTAGCCTTGTGTGTGTGTGCAGGGGATCTCTGTTTCACTAGCCCTATGTGAATTGGGGGGGGGGCCCTATTTCACTAGCCTTATGTGTGTGTGTTTTATATTCTTGTGTGTGTGTGTGTGTGTGGTGGGGGTCTCTATTTCACTAGCCTTGTGTGTGTGGAGGGGATCTCTGTTTCAATAGCCCTGTGTGAATTGGGGGAGGGGGGGGGCGCTATTTCACTAGCCTTGTGTGTGTGGGGAAATCTACTTTACTAGCCTTGTGTTTGTGTGTCTATGGGGGGATCTCTATTCTACTAGCCTTGTGTGGGGGGGGGGTCTACTTTTCACTAGCCTTGTGAGGAGGCTTTAATATGATTAACCTTAACAACCATGCACTTTATGCTTCTCTGGGAATATCTATGCGATAAAGATAAACCAAGAAACTTATTAAAAATGATTTCAATCTTGAATTGTAAAATTATTGGACATTTTATTACAGAAGCGCTCCTATTGATAATACTTGGTGGATTAGGCAGAAACCAATGTCCCAGAAATTGCTTGAGAAACGCGTGTGAGACTGCACGATGTCCAGCAAATCTCAACGCACAATGTAGAACATCATGCAATGACTGTCGAGCTCACTTTTACGATTTTAATCAAGAGGTTACCGGAAGTTGTGAGTATATTTTTATTGCCTTTAATTAGCTTGTGACCGAATTTTCACGGTCGTAATTTACAAAAAAAAAACGATATAACCTGCAACTTCAGGTGTGGCTCTGAACTTTTAAAACAGCATGCTTCAAGTGTAGTATGCAAATTAGAAGGTACTCTCAAAGTATGTGACCCAAAATGGCGGACATCGGAATGTTGTATGTGTACCAGGTTAGGCCATAATTTCAGGTACAAATACTACGGGAGTCACTTGGCTTGTACCCAAACTCGTAATAGAACTAAAATAAGGAAAATTATGTCTTAACCCTAACCTGGTACACATACTACGTTCCGGTATCCGCGATCTTGGTTCACATACTTCGGGAGTACCAATTAGAAACCTATAGTGTGTGTGTCAACCCTTGATATTTTATATCTTCTATTGCTTATGAGAAACTTGGTTTGAAGGCAATACAATTTTATCAGAAAGATTTCTTGTTCTTATGACTTGTATACTTGTTTCAAATTTGGCTTGGTTTATAGTATGCAGTTACTGTAGTACATAGCGTGTGATGGCGCACAACCTGAGGAACCCTAAGGTATACACACTATGTTCAGGTTGTGCGCCATCTTGGTACGAATACTTCGGGAACACCCAAAAAAGTATTTCATTGATAATATTTAATTCAGGTCAATGTACACGTGGTTATGTCGTGCCAAACTGCAATCAACAACAATGCGCAAACTACAGCTGCATCCCACACGGACGGCAGGTTTCTTACTACTATGCCAGTCAATACTACAACCCCAACATACGATACAATGTCGTATGATGAGCAGCTGTGGTGGATGTTTTCCCCAATTCTACGATAGACATGGACGAAGAATCAATTGCAGACAAATCTTGCAACCTGTATCGAATCCAGGAATTCCGAGTAGGGATAATTTAATGCTGATTTTATTCAATATATGGTACTCCCGTAGTATGTGTACCAGGTAGGGATGGGCCGGGATTCGGATCCGGACTCGGATTCGAGTCGAATCCACGCATTTTTTGGACTCGGATTCGATTCCGAGTCCACGTCTTTTTTACTGACTCTATAATCAATTCTGTTTGTACTAATTTACGCCTATATTTGTACTTTTGCCTCTATAAATCTCACTACATACCTCAACGAGTTAAAATTCAAGGTTAAATCTGTAACAATATCCCTCACGTGTACTATAAACACGGTGCTCCTGAAGTATGCGAACCAAGATGGCGGACATCGGAACGTAACATGGGTAACAGGTTAGGGTTAGGCGATAATTTTTTTCCAATTTTCCCTATTTTAGTCCTATTTATTATCAGTTCGAAGACTAGCCAAGAGCCCCCGTAGTATTTTTTCCTAAAATTATGGCCTAACCCTAACCTAGTACACATATTACATTCCGATGTCTGCCATCTTGGTTCGCATACTTCGGGAGCCCCATAAACACTCCTAATAAAAGCGACAACAGATATCCAGATAATATAACGCATGTTAAAAACTATTGATCGCTCATAACAATGATGTTGCGCCAGTCGCCTTCAAACTATCTATCCTTTTTGGTATACATGTGGTACACAATAAAATATGTGGTATTGCAATATTTTTGATTCTCATAAAAATGAATCATGCTCTGGACCAACCCAAGGGGGAATCTCATCAATACCTCTTTTAAATCGAATTTATTACGTGCAATCCTTTCTATAAAAAGGGAGCAATGGAAAGCATGGATCGTTTTAGAACGTTTACATGAACTACTAAATTGCAATCATTGTATTGACGACGAGTGACATCTCTCTACCATTTGCGCACGTCACATAGTAAATTTAAGGCTAGAAATATCTGGAATTATGGGGAAGCATTGTAGTCAAAAGCTTTTTATTTTTTATATTGACATGTGAGAAT